TTAGATTTGCTATCCTGAAACATGTTCAAATCCGAGACGAAAAGTCAGAACGGCTATTTCCTAAGACAACGACCTCTTGAGTAACTTCCACAGAGTGAAACATTTGAAGGATGAAAATCTACGATTAGTAACGATAATTTGCAAACGTTATGTTTGTAGCTTGTGACTCACATCCTTGAATGACTCGACTTGCTGTGTTAACTACACCCTTGAAATACCTCTCTTGATCGATCTTGAATTCCATTCTTTGTGTCAAAATACTAAAACCACGATTCTTCATTAAACCAAAGATGCTTCATGATACCGATCTTTGAAAACTATAGTCTGTGAACTACGTGACTCGATCACAATAGTAAAACTACCCTGACTTGAACATTATGTTAAACCTCTCTAGGGAACTGCTGCGAAACAGTTAATGCAATTACGTTATCTATGAATATTATTATCAAGAAACTCTGTTTTGACCCTAACAAAGGAATATATGTGCAACGACTAGAGAAGAAATGACGTCACAAGGATCAAGCTAAAATTATTCAGAGCAAAAATCCCCAACCTATATATAATATTGGAGTAAGAATAGTAAGATTTCTTACTCTATGAATTCGTGAATTGAATCTCATACCGAATATATTTCCTTCTTCACTCGAAATGAAATCAACCATAGTGTTACATCAAACCCGTCATTATCAAGAACATATATTCCAAAATCGATGAAGAAAGTTGAATACGACAAGACGTATATGAAACGCCACTCTAATGTTATCACCTGTGGATACGACAAGACGTATATGAAACGCCACTCTAATGTTAGAAGAATTTTGAGGACGAAATTCCTTTAAGGGGGGAAGAAATGTAACGCCCCAAAATATACCCTAAAATTTATTGAATTAAATACTCAATTAAACAAAATTTGTTTTGATTAAAATAAATTGTTGTTGGGCTTTGGGCTGAAATAAAATATATATTGATATCAAATAAACATAATTGGGATAAATCTCATAGAGATAAATCCAACACGTTGATTTAATGTGTGATCTTGATTGGGAACCTGAGTACAGACCCAAATTAAGAATAAATGAAGAAATTGTTTATAATGTGAACTTTGAAATGATTTATTGAAATAAATCATGGAAATAAATAATATGAATTAAATGTGAGAACCTTTTTGAATAAAGGTCAATTAAACCAATTTTGACTCTGTCAAAGTCAACCACCCAAAAATATGATGTCGGAAAAAGTATAACGAATAAATATAAAAATTATATCGTTAGATAGAGTTTAACTGTCTGATCGCAACGGTGCAATCGGATTTCAATTCGGAGAAAGTTAGACCAAAAAGTGTTCCCCGACTGGGACCAAATTAGTCCCAATCAGGGACTTGCGTTTGGAATCGAAGAAATATCGCAGCCCCCTCCACTGAGACGCCGAAACAGGAACGGATACATCATCACCTTGGCCTCTTCCTCCATTCTTTTACTATATAAGAAACCCAACTTCACCATTTCTTCACCATTC